CTGTTCATCACTGTTCAGCACTGTTCATCACTGTTCATCACTGTTCATCACTGTTCATCACTGTTCATCACTGTTCAGCACTGTTCAGCACTGTTCATCACTGTTCAGCACTGTTCATCACTGTTCATCACTGTTCAGCACTGTTCATCACTGTTCATCACTGTTCAGCACTGTTCGGATTTGGTTTTCCAGTTTTAAATCTTCGGAGCAAATTAAACAAACAAACATAAAATCTGGGTCATGTTGCCGGGACTGGAACACGAATATCATCCATCCATCATCCTTTACTCACTTCTTGTTGCTTGTGCTAGTGCCCAGCAGTCATGGAGGCAGGGGGGACACCCTGGACGGGTCTCCAGTCCATCACAGGGACACGTGACAATCGTTCTCTCTCTCTCACCAGGGACAATTTAGAGTTACCAATCAGACTAACATGCATGTTTTTAGTCTGTGGGAGAAAACCGGAGTACCCGGAGAAAAACCCACGCATGCACGGAGAGAACATGCAAACTCCACCAAGGACGGATCCCGACTGGGATTCGATCCGGAAACTTTCTCACTGAGAGGCAGCAGCTCTAACTGATCCACCGTGCTGCCACTGGCACAGGAGTACTTGTACCTAAAAATACTAGATGATGTTCAAGGTGACTTTATTGTCATTCATATCACATGTGGCACATGAGGTGGAACGAAATTGTGTACTCAAGGTCCCAGTTACACCCAAAAAGAGCAATAATATAATCTATTAAAAAAAAGAAAGTGGATATACAGATTAATATTATTGGGACAATTAAAGGTTACAAAGTAAGTTTATATATTTGATATAGTTGTACAAATTAAAGTTTGTTTCGTTGTTTTCACCGTGTGCCTCTTCTTTGTGTGTTACGGTGGCAGTTTCTGCTGGTGCGTCTCTTTTAGACACATTATGGTAAAGTTCCGCCGCAGTCACTGGTGTTTACTGGTTTCTGCCGCAGCAGCAGCAGCCTCGCTCTGGTTTTACCTCATTATCCAGGAGCAGAGTCGGTGTTTCCTCCTCAGACTGACAGGTATGCTGCCTCAATATTCACTAATAAGAAAATTATATTCCTTTATTATTATTATTCTACTTTACTGGAATAAATATTCATGTCCTGCTGCGTCTAAAGTAAACTCAGTGCCGCAGCTGCGTTCCTGAAATTAAACATTGCTTTCTTACTGGTGCCACACCAGTAAAGACCCCCTGCTTTCTGTTCTTGGGTTTTGTTGCTCCAACAGTCCGAACGCACGAGCTGCGTCTTCCTGCGGAGGATCTGGTCCTGAGCCTGATCGGACCCTGCAGGTTCTGGGTTCACATCTGCGAGTTGAATCTACTGAGTCTGGGTTCATGCCGGATTTCGAGCATTTCAGATTTTCCTACTCTAGAATGAATCCTGTCCTGGGGGAGAGCAGCTTCCTGGCTCCGCAGCACCACCTGACGGGACAGATGGACTCGTCCATCCCGGATCCAGGGTACTTGTGGGATAACGGCTGGTCCGGCTCTGATGGGTTTTCCGGGCTGGACCTGGGCGCTCTGCCTCCGGCTCCGGCCTACCTGCACCTGAGCAGCCCCCTGCACCGGGGCCCCCCCGCGGCCACGGCGCTGCGCAACGACCTGGGCTCCAACATCAGCGTGCTCAAGACCCTGAACCTGCGCTTCCGCTGCTTTCTGGCCAAAGTGCACGAGCTGGAGCGCAGGAACAAGGTGCTGGAGAAGCAGCTGCAGCTGGCTGTGGACAGCAGCAGCGGGGAGGGGGGGCTTCTCAAGCCCCTGACCAAAAACACGGGGGTCCAGACTGGATTTATTGGACCTATTCCAACCAGACCGAACTTCATCCCGCTCCAGAACTCCAACAACCCGGCCTACCTGCCCGGAGGCCTCCTCTCCCCCACCCTGAACCCCCCTCCCCTCCTCCTGGGCCACAACCTGAACACGGATTCGAACTCCAACCTCACCGGGTTCGGCTCCATCAGTCCGAGTCAGAGTCCGAGCGAGCCGACCAGAACCAGCAGCGTGGAGAAGCAGGCTCCTGGCACAGCCAACCTGCCCCCCCCGCCGCGCTTCATCCCCGGAACCATCTGGTCCTTCAACCACAACCGCCGCTTCGGCACCGGCTCGTGCGCCACGGGGCCCGGGGTCTCCTGGACTCCGCCAGACGGAGTGGGGGTCCAGATCGACACCATCACCCCGGAGATCAGGGCCCTGTACAACGTCCTGGCCAAGGTCAAGAGAGAGAGGGACGAGTACAAGAGGAGGTGAGGAGGAGCAAATCTGAACTTTGTTTCTGGCTTGGAGAGAAATATATAAATGATCTTTGAACAAAGTCCAATCTAAACCTTCTAGTTATTTTATCACTTTAATATTGTTCTTTTAAACGAGTTATAACTTTAAATTCAGGTTTTGCTCAAAGTTGAGCAAATTGACGCCTTCGTTTAAAGTTTATTTGGAAGTTTGTAATAATATAAAATAATCATGAAATGAAATGTTATTTTTGCATCTTGTTTTGTTTAGTTCTTAAAGAGTTCATCACAAAGTGGTTTTGGAGCGTTCGGCTGAGCAGAACCTCCTGGACCATGATGCTTTATTGTAAAACATCTGAATACATCACGTGCTGTACGTCCCTCAGATGTGATATTAAACTAATCTATTTTTAGAACAGGTTTATGTTGTTATAAAAAATAGGAACATTGAATCTGGAGTGAGTTAAAGGCCTGAAGCTCCAGCAGCTGTTGACCTGCAGGACTAGAGGTCGCACTGATCAGACTCTGGTGCACAGCGTGGTCGGTTGATGGGATGATGAACGTTGTTCCCTGTGGAGTTATTATCCATCCATCCATGCATCTATCCATCCATGCATCCATAGTTCTGTTAGAAGTCCAGACATCTCTTTCCACTGCCGCCTCTTTCAGCTCTGCTTGGAGGACTTCAAGGAGTTCCCAGATCAGCCATTCCAGCAGGTCCTGGGTTTTTCCCGGCGTCTCTTCCCAATTGGCATTTAGGTGACATCCTTACCGGATGATCGCACCTCAACTGGCTCCTCTCGACGTGGAGGAGCAGCGGTTCTACTCCACGTCTCTCCTGGTGAACTGAACTTCTCGCCCTATAAGGGAGAGCGACCGCCTGTATCTCTCGTTCTTTCGGTCACCACCCAGACTTCCTGTTCTTATATAAGAATGTAGAGAGTGTCTCCTTGCAGCTCAGCTCCCTCTTCCACAATGGACCGGAACAGAGTCTGTAATATTGTAAAAGCTGCACTGGTCCATCAGTGAATCTCGCTCCCCATTCTTAAGCATCTCCACTTGAGACAGCACTTTATCCCAGAGAACATGGTCCACCCTTTTCTCACTGAGGACCATGGATTCAGATTTGGAGAAGCTGTTCCTCGTCCCAGCCACTTCACATTTGGCTACAAACTTCTCCAGTGACAGCTGAAGATCACAGCACGATGATGCCAACAGGACCACATCATCTGCAAACAGCAGAAACAAAATCCTGTTCAGCCCCAGAGCCTTGCCTCCACAGAGATTTTTAATTATCAGTCTCAGCTCCATGAACAGACCCACCCTCAACTCCACCCAGCTCAGCTTCCTCCATGGGAGACATGCTGGTGAGGTTGAGAAGGTCCAAAAATATTTTGTCCACCGCTTCTCACAGAGTTCATCTCAGAAGCTTAATGTTGTTCTTCAGGTCAGAACAACCAGAGACAGTCTGGAGAAGTTTTTCCACAATAAATGCATCAATATTAAATAACCGTTAGTGACATCATCAGACCTCTGCTGTGATAAAAGCACCGACTTGATTTGTGACCCCGCCTGCTGATGCAAGATGTTCTCACAGATCAAACCTTCAGCCACATCAGTTACAGCTGCACGGTGTTCAGCTGAACAGCTGTACCTTTCCTGACCCAGTTAGTGTTTTCTTTAAGGGCGCCTGTTTCAGCGCCGAAGGCAAACGGCCATGATGCTTTTACCTTCTTCAGTCTGTTAGCAAAATATTTCATGGACAACTTCACCTATTTTACCGAAACTCGCAGGAAGTGATCACTGGACATGTGACGTCAACGCAGCAGTTGATAAAACTTTCCAAGTAAAATTAAAACCTAGCTGGACAATTTGAAAGTTTTAAAAATGGCTTTATTTCTAAATTATATCCGTAATGTGCTGCCTTACGGTTCTACAACTGTTCTCATCAACTGGTGACCCCTTGGTCTTATCCGCACCAGTTCATTGCATCTGGTCCATGAAAATTTAAACTTGACTAATAACTTGACTAACTTGAAACTAATTTAAACTTAGGTAATTATCAATTCAGTTCAGTTTATAAAACGTCAAATCCGAACACAAGTTGTTTCAGAGCGCTGTAAAAAAACAACAACAGCAGAACCAGGCTCAGTGCCATCAGGCCATCTTGGGTTTGAGGGAACAGGAAGGAGAAACGAACAGAACAACAGCAGGTGGACGTTCTATAGGAGGAAAGACAAAGGATAAAAATAATTACAAACACAAACAGGTAGATTAAAGACAGCAGCAGAGAGAGGAAATGTGGTCAATTTGTCTTCCAATAGCCTATAGCAGCATAACAAGCCAACCCTAACTATAGGATTTATTAAAAATGAACAAAAACTTAAGCCAAGTCTTAAAACTGGACAATGTGTCAGCCTCACAGACAGAAACTGGAACTTGGTTCCACAAGAGAGGATCCTGATGACTGAAAGATCTTCCTCCAGTTCTACTTTTGGAAACTGTAGGAACCCTACGTAAACCTGCAGTCTGAGAGCAAAATCCAGTATCCATTATTATCCATTATACCATTTTTGAATGCTCTAATTACTGACATGAAGATTTAATGTTTGCCTCAAATCTTATCAGAGATTTAATGATGATAATCTTTTGTTTCTGTCATCACCTGTAAAAAATAAATGTCAGATTAATAACTATAGAATCCAATGAAAAAATCAGTTTTCTTCTTCTTTCAGCTTTTCCCTCTTCAGGGGTCTCCACGGCGAGTCATCCTCCATCTCACTCTGTCCTCACTCCATCTACCTCCATGTCCTCATAGCTGCATCCATATATAGGCCTGTCACGATAATCAATAAATCAATTAATCGCATGATAAATGAAACTTATCAACCTCTTTTCATTTATCGGCTTTATCGTTTCTTCGTGTCTCTTTCTGAAAACAATGGATGACAAAAGGCTCAACTCGGGCTCTTCACTGACCCCTCCCTTTTCTTTAAAATCTGTTTTAACCGTCTAAAATCACATTTTTGGATCATTAAAAGCAGCTAAGCTAAGAAGCTAAGCTACGAGCTAAGCTAACAGGCCGACCTCCAGAAAAAACCTCCGTCTTGTCGAAGCTCCAAAATTCACGGTTGAAACCCGTGCCTTTGTGTAAAAAGTTGTTTTTCTCTGCAAAAAGTAGCTGAGAACTTGTTTACTGTTTTTTTTTTTATTCAAAGCTTTGTGTGACAAATGCTACGCTAAAGAGCTCAAACCACTCCATGCGTCCGCCATTTTGAGAACTGAAAAACAGGAAGGAGAGACAGCCCATGTCACGTCAAGGGGCCTCCCTCCCATTTTTCTTAGAGACACGCTGCTCGCTCCTTCACTATTCATCCTTCGGTTTAAACAGTCTTATACTGCCATTTAGTGGTCAAAAAAAGGTACTACATGCAAAAATTAACCAATATTTATTCTTAAATTTGACAATAATTACTAATTATTGTCAAATTTCAAACTATTATCGTTTATCGCGATAATTTCTGAGACAATCGCCAAGCAAAATTTGTTATCGTGACAGGCCTATCCATATATCTCCTCTTTGTCTTTGTCTTGGCAGCTGCATTTCTAACATCCTTCTACCAATATACCCACTGTCTCTCCTCTGGATATGTCCAAACCACTGTCCATCCTCTGGACATGTCCAAACCATCTCAGTGTGTCCTCTCTAACTTTACCTCCCAGTTGTTCAACGTGTGCTGTACCTCTGATGATCTCATTCCTAATCTTCTCCATCCTTGTCTCTCCTAAGAAGAACCTCAACATCTTCATTTCTGCCTCTTCCAGTTCTTCCTCCTGTCTTTTTGTCCGTGTGTCTGTCTCCAGACCAGACAACACGGCTGGTCTCCTAAAATACAAATGCTACTAAAATCTACATTAGCCAATAAATCCCAGCTCCAGTAACTGGTATTTTTACAGTAGGTGAGTTTAAATGTGGTCTCTGAAAGGATCAGATGTCTGGAAAATATACGAGATTTAAGAGATCGTTGTGTCTCTTAAGTCTTATTGATTTTTGTTGTTTATGCTTCCTCCATCTTTTCCTTTTAAAATCCCTCCTCCTCCTCCTCCTCCTCCTCCTCCTCCTCCTCCTCCTCCTCCCTGCTGAGTTTTGTTTTGCTACCTGCATTGCAGCAGCGGCCTGTGACACCCAGCAGTGATGTAACCCAGGCTGCCGTCTCCCTCCGTCAAACCTCAGAACGTTTCTTCATCTTCAGCTTGATGAGCTCCTCTCTCCCTGGAGCTGCTCCTCCAACCTCTTCCTGCTGCTGCTATCTTTTGTTTGTCCTGCCCCTCCTTCATCTCGTCTGCCTGAACACTCGGCTTCTATCGGTCAAATTTAAAACAGGAAAGCTTATTGTTTTCTAAGATGCTGGTTTGTCTCTGCTGATGATAGAGGCAGGAAGTGTGGGGGTGTTGGTTTCTGTAATCGATGTCCTCTGAGTGTGCGAGGACTCGTGCTCCAGAGAGAAACAAACATTGATCTGATTTCTGTTAGATGTGTATTCTCGTCCCGTCCTTTCTGTGTGTTTGACCTGCAGCAGTGTTTGCTGACAGGGCTGCTGCTTTCACGTGATTCTCGTAGAAATGTTGTGTGTTTATATGCGATGGTTGGAGGCCCTGACCTGTGAAAACTGATAAATCCAGAGTGAACGCCGAGTGCAGAAGGAATTTACTTTTAAAAAAATATATATATTATTGTTCTTACTGAATTGTTAAAGTTAAAACAAGCAGAAAAGAAGCTAAAATTAGCAAAAGAAGGAGAAAATGTATAATTAGCAAAGTGGTAGCTTTAAGCTAACATTGAGAAGAGAGTAGATAAAATCTAAAAGGAGCAAATGAAGATGACCATAAAGCAGCAAGATGAAGAGCTGACGCAGATTTTTACGACGGAGATTTAGGGCCACGCTAAGAATAAAAATATTACTAGAATAAAGTCGCAATATTACGAGAATAAAGTTATCATTTTATGTTTTGGGTCGGTTCGCACCTGCCTCCAATGAGAGTCACCGTGTTTATGAAGTGCTCCGCGATCACTTTTGGGTCACAGTTTGTGAAATATGCCTCCATGCACATTATGTCACGACTAAATCTGTCAATGCAGCCATTACTTGCAGCGCCATACGGCTTCAGTTTATCATAAGAACCCGTATGCCACAGCGCGTTGGGCCCCCTGCTGTTGTACTCACGACAACATTCATCATTTTACCACAGCTGTAAGACCGATTGTTCGTGTCGGAGTTCTGATAATATTACAAGTTTATTCTGGTAATATTATGACTTTATTCTCATATTGTTTCTACTTTATTCTCGTAATGCTATTTTATTATTGTAATAATACGACTTTATTGTCATACGAGTTCATTCTCGTAATATGATGATTTTATTCTCATTCTTAATGTCATTTTTATTTTTATTTTTCCTTAGCATGGCCCAAAGCTTCGTCATAGATTTTAGAAAACATTGGGCGGGGCTAAATGAAGAGATCTTGATATATTTCTGTTGGAATATTTTCAAATAATGTTAAATAATTCAAAAAGTATAGAAGTTAAAGTAACTGCATGTGATCAGGCCGAACAATTAGATGTACGACTAAATAAAATAAAAGCGTAGTTTGCAGAAGTAGTTTGATCGCACAAACATACACAGACAAATATTCAGTTCAGTTTATTTCTATAGCACCTAGTCACAACAGAAGTCGTCTCAGGGCACTGAGCAGAAACATTCATGTGCTTTATAAAAAAAAAATTAGTAAAAGTTATTTATCTAAGGAAGCAGCAGATGGTGTTGAATCTTCACTTCGTCACAGTCTCTCATTCTGAGCGAGCACAAAGGAGACAGTGGGAAGGAAAAACTCCCTTTTAACATGAAGAAACCTCCAGCAGAACTCGGCTCAGGATGAGTGGTCATCTGCTTCGACCGGCTGAGTTTGAGAGAATAGGAAGGAGGAACAGATACACAATGGCAGGTCCAGATGTACCTTCTATAGGAGGAAAGACCAAAAAAAAACCACGTTAATATAGAAATAATTACAAAAACAAACAGAGTAGAGCAATTAAAGACTGAAGCAGAGTGAGGAAATGTAGTCAGTTTGTTCTCCAACAGTCTAAGCCTAAAGCAGCATAACTTAAAGATAGCTCAGGAAACCCAAGCCAACCCTAACTATAGGATTTATCAAAAAGGAAAGTCTTAAAACTGGACAATGTGTCAGCCTCACGGACAGAAACTGGAAGTTGGTTCCACAAGAGAGGAGCCTGACAACTGAAAGATCCTCCTTCCATTCTGGTTTTGAAAACTCTAGGAACCACAAGTAAACCTGCAGTCTGAGAGCAAAGTGCTCTGTTGGGAAAATATGGAACAATAAGATCTGTAATATAAGATGGAGCTAGGTTGTTGAGGGCTTTGTAGGTTAGAAGTAAGATCTTAAACTCTGACAGGGAGCCAGTGGAGAGAAGCTAAAACTGGAGAGATACGATCTCTCCCACTAACTCCAGTTAAGACTCTGGCAGCAGCAGTTTAGATTAACTGAAGACTTTTTTTTAAGTATTTGGACACCCAGATAGTCCAGTCTAGACGTGACAAATGCATTTTTCTGTGTATATCAAATATGAATAGTTTTCATGAAATGGACAAAATTTACATTAATTTTTCACCGTTCAGCCTAAAAACAAAATTTAAACCAAAACGAACGTTTCATTTACATGATAGCTGCTGTTACTTTTATTTGACATGTGCTGCAATATCTCCTAAATTATCTATTTTATCTAAAAAGCCATTAAAGGAGTAAATTGTAGCAGTGATCAGAGAAGGTGAACACTGAAAAATGATGGGAAATTTATTTTAAACTTGCTACAACGTGCACAGATGTAACGCCACTCTGTTTTATATAAAGATAAAATTTTAAAGAAAATTGTAATTTCTAAGAACCAGAAGCTTCCAGGTGAGAGATGATCGCTCATCTGCTCCTTAAAACTCCTGCAAATGTTGATGTTTTTTACATGTTTTCCCTCTGCCGTGTTCAGTAAAGTCTCGTTCAAGTTGCAAAGCCACGACGTTAGGAGGTGAGTTTCTGCAGCGCTCAGCTCCTCGTAGGACAATTCTCATCCCCTGTAATGATAAAGTTACTGAAGTCAGCGTTTCACGCAGCTTTTACGTCATCCAGCAGCTCTGACGTCATGAGTCATGGTCAGATTTGATCAGCAGCTTCTCTGCAGAGCCGCGTGGTCAGACTTTTAAACAGATCCCTGCAGGACCTCAGGTCTCTGGGGCTCCTTCTGTCTGAGGACGCCGTCCTCACCGGCTGACACTAAACCACATACAGATCCAGTTTACGTGGAGTCAGAGTGTTCGGAGGTTTTGGTTTTAAAGGGTAAAGGACAAGCTGCTGGTGATTTGTCTCCGCGGTCCTGCTCACGTATCTCCTCCTGACTAATGTCCCACTTAAGGAGAGCGGCACGTCCTGAGTGCACCGAGCGCCAACAGATTCTCATCGGTTCCTGTAACAGCTGCGCACGAGCCGCTCACTTCTGCTTGTTTAGACCATTTCTTTACGTCGACTAACGTTGCTGTTAACAAAACTCTGCTTTGACAGAGTCAGATGAGCATAAAAGAGATTTATTTCAAGCTGAATCAACTTTATTTATAAAGCACATTTAAAACAGCAGCTGTAAGAGCTTAACAATAAAACTCAGTGGGAGTAAAAAAAATATAAATATAATGAAAGTACAGAAAATTAATTACAAGCCTCAAAAGAAAAACCTTAAAACTCTAAATAAAGTCACGCTGTGTAAAAAGTCAGAGAAACAGATGTGTTTCTAGCATAGATTTATAAACAGGAAGTGAAGGGGCCTGCCTGATGTTGGGGGCAGATTGCTCCAGAGTTTGGGGTCCACAACTGAAAAAGCCCGATCTCCTCTGAGCTTCAATTTTGTTTTTGGAACAGCCAAAAGCAGCTGATCAGATGAACTCAGGGCCCGAGAGGGACAATCGTTGCAGTAGGTCAGAGAAAAATGAGGGTGCAAGGTCATTTAGGCACTTCAAGGTCAGCAGGAGAATTTTAAAATCTATACTGTGGGAGCCAGTGAAGGGAGGACAAAACTGGTGAAATATGATCAAACCTATGAGTTCCTGTTAAGAGATGAGCTGCAGCAGTTTGGACGAGCTGGAGACGTGACAGACCCCAACAAAGAGTGTTCCAGTGGTCCAGTCTGGCAGTGATGAAGGCATGGACTAGTTTTTCAAGGTCAGATCTGGTCAACACTGACTTAAGCTTAGCTGTCCGCCTTGAATGGAAGAAGCTTTAAATGTATAATAAATAAAGCATAATGTCAAAACTTTTTATTTTACATATTCAACATCATTCAATATTCATATGTACCGCATGTGGTGCGAATGACTATAAAGAATCTCTGAATTCAAGGGAGTGGGTAGAAGTATAAACTTATCAAAATTCCCTCTCCTTAACCACTTACATACTCTTACATTTATTACATGTATAATCCATACATGTAACAACTGAACCCGTATTTAATAGTTAACCCATCAATATAGTATCTATTTAATTTTACTACAGTAGATGAACAATTATTATTTATTTAACATCACCAAAAAAAACTAGCATCAATAACAAAAGCATCAACAATAGTTGAATAATAATATTATATATTATATCCAGCAATAATCGTGTGTTTATATGATCATTTGAACAGTTTTATGTTTTGACATTGTCTAAGTTGAATATTCAAATTATTCCACAGTTTGACTCAACTTACTGATACACACAAGTTTTTTTTTTCTAGTAGTTCTGAATTTGCACATTTTAAACTCTGATTCCCCCCTTAACTTATAAATTTGCTCCTTAGTCGTGCTTTGAATGTTTTCCACTAATTGTCTATTTTGGCTTTGTAAAGAATTAGAGCTGTCTGTAGTTTAACTATGTCAATGAACTTTAATAATTTAGATTTTACAAATAGAGATGAATGGAGCAAGAACTGTTAGGTTTTAGGCAGATAAATCTGACCATCATCGGCATAACAATGAAATGAAAAACGTTTCCTCAGGATAGATCCCAAAGGGAGCAGATAGAGTGAAAACAATAGGGCTCCGAGAATAGAGCCCTGTGGGACCCCGCAGGAAATAGGCACTGAAGCAGATATACTATTTCATCAGATTTTCTGCTAAAGTTTGAATTGTAAAGTAATGCACATCAGTCATGAGAGGCATGTTTCACAGCCGAGGTCGGACAGAGAAAAACAGTTTTTATCAATCACGTAAACGACTCTACTTTATTTTGGAGACGTATTAATTTCTTCTGCAGGTCGATACAACTTATGACAAAATTCAGAGTAAGTCTGAAGGCCAAAAAATTTAAAGGCTTCGTTAAATGTATTTCATTTACCGGGAAAACTCCCGACGTAGAAGTGCTGCTTATGTTTTTAATCAGTGAAAGATGGTTTGTGTTTCCAGATGGGAGGAGGAGTACGACGCCAGGATGGACCTGCAGGAGAAGGTGGAAGAACTCGAGGAGGTTTGTGACGGTTGATCGAAATAGTTTCTAACTATTTAAATTATCTGAACAGAAAATAAAAAGTTGTTTTTTTATATTACATAATTCATAGTTTGGATTTTCTGTCAGTAAATGCATCAATAGTTAATTTCCCCTGTAAACAATGTCAGTTATAAATATAACTACTGGTTCAGACATGTTGGTCCTTTTCTGGTGTTGCAGGACCTGCAGGAGAGCGAGGTGTGCCAGGAGGAGCTGGCTCTCAGGGTCAAGCAGCTCAAGGCAGAACTGGTTCTCTTCAAGGGACTCGTCAGCAACGTAAGCTTTGTTTGTTTTATTTATTCATTTTAAGATATTTAGTTTAAATGTGTTTCTAATGGATGTTGGTGTCACGTCCTATTTTGTTCCCCTCAGAACCTGTCAGATCTGGACAGTAAGATCCAGGAGAAGGCCATGAAAGTGGACATGGACATCTGCCGACGCATCGACATCACCGCCCGCCTCTGTGACGTCGCCCAGCAGAGGAACTGCGATGACGTAACCCCCATCTTCCAGGTACGCCCGCAGCTTCAACCAGTGAACGTCCTCCTCAGATCCATCACCTGAGCCATGAAACACGCGTGTTCCCCCCGCCAGGTGCCCACCCCCCCCTCCACTTTCAGCCGCCGCAGCAGGGTGCAGAGCGGCCAGTCGCTGAGGGGCGTGGACGGAGACGATCTGAGCGTGTCGGAGAGCGAGGGCGCCAAAGACGAGGAGTCGGGCGGCACGTCGGCCAATCAGATCAACGAGCAGATGCAGAGGATGCTGAATCACCTGTAGGTGTTCGTCCCCCGAGAGGGAATTTTATAAGTTTAAACCTGCCTGACGTGTGTGTGTGTGTGTGTGTGTGTGTGTGTGTGTGTGTGTGTGTCTGTGTGTCTGTGTGTGTGTGTGTGTGTGTGTGCAGGAGGGAGTGTGAGTTCGAGGATGACTGTGACAGCTTGGCCTGGGAGGAAACTGAAGAAACTCTTCTACTGTGGGAGGATTTTCCAGGATGCACCCTGGGAGTCGAAACACAAGGAGATGTATTTATTATTTATTTTATTTATCTTATTTATTATATTATAGGATAATAAATAAAATGAGATCCATCCATCCATCCATTATCTTTACCCGTTTATTCCAGTTTGGGTCACGGGGGTCGCTGGTGCCCATGTCCAGCAATCACTGTGCGAGGGGCGGGGTACACCCTGGACGGGTCTCCAGTCCATCACAGGGACACATAGAGACAAACGAGACAAACAACCATTCACTCTCTCACTCACACCTAGGGACAATTTAGAGTTACCAATCAGCCTAACATGCATGTTTTTGGTCTGTGGGAGGAAACCGGAGTACCCGGAGAAAACCCACGCATGCACGGAGAGAACATGCAAACTCCACCCAGAAAGGCCCCCGGACCGGGGTTTGAACCAAGGACCTGCTCGCTGAGAGGCAGCAGCTTTACCAGTTGCGCCACCGTGCTGCCCATAAAATGAGATGTATTTATTATTTTATTTTATTTATCTTATTTATTTTATTATAGGATAATAAATAAAATAAGGAGATGTATTTATTATTTATTTTATTTATCTTATTAATTTCATTATAGGTTAATAAATAAATAAAAGAAAATGTATTTATTATTTTATTTTATTTATCTTATTTAGTATAGGATAATAAATAAAACGAGATGTATTTATTATTTTATTTTATTTATCTTATTTATTTTATTATAGGATAATAAATAAAACAAAGAAATGTATTTATTATTTATTTTATTTATTTTATTTATCATCTTATTTATTTCATTATAGGATAATAAATAAAATGAGATGTATTTAATATTTTATTTATCTTATTTATTTTATTATAGGATAATACATAAAATAAGGAGATGTTTTTATTATTTTATTTTATTTATATTATTTATGTTATTTATTTTATTTATCTTAATAAATTACTGAGCCCCGGTGGGGACATGGGGGGTGTTTTTTCTTTTGCGTTCCCCCACAAACGTTTTGGCGTTCTATGAAATGTTACGTCACAGACAACAAACGTTCCTCCCTCACAGAAACTGATCCAGATGACATGATTTAACCGTTTTTGTGCTCACAGACAACAGCATCACTGGACCAGACACCTGTATTTGAGGTTCATGGAGTTTTGTTTTAAGATCAGCCTTAAATCAAAGGATATCCAGCACGTGCGCTGCAGTGGTAAAATTAGTTTTGCGTTATTGAGCATGCATCAGGATCGTTTTGCGTTGGATATTTCACGTTCATGCTCCGTGGATTCAGCGGTGGCTTCCTCGTTCGAGCCGACGCAGACGGTCCGAGGAGCGATGGTTCTCTTAGGGACCGTCAACAAATTACCGCGCTAATGATTTTGGTCTGAACACTGTTATACTGGTTTAGATATATTTCCAGAGTATTTGTCAAAGCAGCACCTGCATCATAAGTTTTCTCAGTATATTTCTGCATGGTAATAAATCGTGAATTTTATCACCATTGAAAATCCAAAAGAACAAGTTGGCACTTGTGTTTCATAAGTGCTGTAACTTTCTTTTAAAGCACCAAAGTTCATTCAAGGATTCAGAGATTCAAGGTTCTTTATTTGACATTCGCAACACATGTGGTGCATGAGGTGGAACGAACTTGTGTCCAATAACGAGCTGCAGCAGGTTCAAACGTCACGTGTGTTCCGTCTAATGATGTCACGACGCTCCTGCTTCCCGTTGACCGATAATCCATTTAACAGAATAATCCATCAGAGAAACGGAGCGACCTGCTGAGGTAAAGAGAGAAAGGAGCGGCAGAGCTGAGACGCCTCATTCTGGACGACTGAAGCATTTTTTTTATACTGACTGACGCAAAAAGTTCCTTTTTATAAAGTTTAGATGAGTTTTTCTAAAGCAGGCGTCTGCAACTTTTCTGCTCACTAAATAAAATGTGTCTGAGCCACAAAACCTGCTTATCAACTGGTGGCCCATGGGCCACCTAGAGGTCGTTGGAGGAGAGTTTTCTGGCCACTTGGGGTGACTTTATAAAACTAAAAATATATAACGACTTGTTACATTTATTGATATTTTTATATTTTAGGGTAAAAGGAAAAACTAAAAGTAGGAAAAAATTGTTAATCCCAAGTCTCTGTAGGGTTATGTGCATCTTTTTTTTTCTGACTTATAATTAAGAATACCACTTTGAAGTAATAAAACGTAAATTTAAAGTATGCAGAAAAAAATGGCATTTTGCTGAACGATATTGATTTTTTTTTTTTTTCAATTCAGTTTATTTATATAGCGTTTATTATAAGATCCTTCTCACATTCTGCTTTTGGAAACTCTAGGAACCACAAGTAAACCTGCAGTCTGAGAGCAAAGCGCTCTGTTAGGAAAATATGGAAATATAAGATCTGTAATATAAGATGGAGCTAGGTTGTTGAGAGCTTTGTAGGTTAGAAGTAACATTTTTAATTAAATTCTGAATTTGACAGGGAGCCAATGGAGAGAAGCTCAAACTGGAGAGATATGATCTCTCCCAGTAACTCCAGTTAAGACTGAGAGAAACATCCCACTAGAATATCTTTCACCAGTTTACAGAAAATTGACTAAAAATGGTTAAAATTCACATTTTCTGTTGTGGATATAAAAAATAAAAAGTAGTATCACGTTAGTTTTGGTCAAAGCTTCAGACTAAAGGGCCACATGTGGCCCGAGAGCCACAGGTTGCAGACCCCTGATCTAAAGTAACTACTGTTAAAATATTATTACAGTAAAATAGGAATATTTAATAAGTTTCTTATTTCCGTCATCTAATTAATAATAAAACTTTGAACGGTCTCAGTGCAGCTCTGCTTAAGATTTTAATTTTTTTTTTCCACAGAAACTCAAATTATTGGTTTTATTTAAGTAACAATGTTGGAGCAAATTATTTTGGTTGCCGTGGCGATTACCGCCTTTTCGAGCGCGGAAACCACCAAAACACAGGCTAGAAAAATGAGTTTCAGACAAACAGCTGCAGTCAGAAGATGAGTTTAATAACTTCAGGCTTTAAAACAGAATTTGTTCCCAGTGAAAGTTTCAGTGTAAAACGTCCATGAGCTTCTCGTCCACTGAGTGTTCTCTTCTCGCTGCAGGAAGAATCCATCGAGAAAGTGATCAAAGACACGGAGTCTCTGTTTAAATCCAGAGAGAAGGAGTACCAGGACACCATCGACCAGATCGAGGTGAGACACCGACGTTGCTGTTGGAACAGATGTTGTGGGTGAAGCTCATCTGTAATAATCCGATCTGTTCCTGATGTTCTGCTCAGCTGGAGCTGGCCACAGCCAAGAGCGACATGAACCGCCACCTGCACGAGTACATGGAGATGTGCTCCATGAAAAGAGGGCTGGACGTCCAGATGGAGACCTGCAGGAGGCTCATCACGCAGAGCGGCAACCGGTAACGCATCCGTCTCACCGAGAACCCAGTGTCTGAGAAGAAAAAACGCTAAAACTTTTGTCTTCTGCGCTCCATTTTAGGAAGTCCTCGTCCCTCGTGACGCTGACGGGGGACGACTCGGAACACGAGGAGAGAGAGAAGACGACGCCGGCTCTTCCCGCCGCCTCTGACAGCAGCAGTGACTCGTGCTGCAGCGTCAACGCCGCCGTCGCTCCCAAGACCTGGAGGAAACCCTGACACACAAACACCTGCTGGGTCCTCCTGACCCTGCACGCTGACGGCACAACAAACACGTCTGACGCTGCGTCAGCGAGAAGCGGCGACTTAGAGTAGACGTGTTTTAAATGCAACATTTTTTATTTTATTGTGTTGCCTCTGGAGGCTCAAGTCTGATGATGTAAGAGCAGCCAACACACCTGAAACACACCTGAAGAAAGCCTCCAGCTTTTATCTAACCCAAACTTTGTCTTCTCATTTTAACTCCTATTTATTCACATTTAATGTTGCTGAAAGAAAATTTAAAGAGATTTGTAAAGAGTTAAAAACAACCTTCCGCTCTGTCTATAAACTGCTGCCCTCTTGTGGTTGCTTGCTGTAACTACAGGTGAATGAAACTATGATGCACTTTAAATTTTTGTTTCTTTATTCCTGTCAGGAGCAAGAAAATATTTATTTTTACACACTTTTATTGTTTAATGCAGGAGATTTATTTATTTTTTGCACAATTAAAAAGCAACAGAAAGGCAATAATGCACAAAGAATGTCGTTTGCACACGTTACTCTTCAGCTGTTTCTTTTTAGATTTTAGTTCAGTTTTTGAATAATCAATTTCCATATATTTTTGAACAGATACTTTTATGGAACTAGAGTAATATAAGTAGCTTTTAAAACTCAGTTTGCCTTAAACTAATATCATGCATATTTTTCCAGATTTCCACTTTTCCACAGATTAATAATCCCAATGGATTTCTTTCCTGGTAAAATAAAGGTTTAAATTTAAAAATATATAAACTTTAAGACGTTTGAATGTGGCTCGTGGAAAGTTGGACTATTGGAACGACGCGTTTGATTTAAAGCCAAACTATTTAAAGTGGTTTTGTAAGATTTATTTTCTCGGTTTTAGCTGAAAGTTGCAGTCAGATATTTATTTTTGTAAGTTTTTGTTTTATAAATTAATTGTTTTTGATGTGCTGTTAATATGAATTTCTGCTTATTCTTGGTGTTCCTTTAGAGCTTAAATATGCTTTGTGTTTTTAAACTTATATGAAAGTCTAAAAAAAAGTTACTTTTACTGTGAATGTGACAGAAGAACATATGAACATGATATAAAAGTTTAATTTGAAATAATGTAACTTTTCTGACAGGGATCAGACTTGCTCAACCAGTTCGACGTGTTTTTCTGTAAAACGACGTTAAATGATTCGTTTCTGAGGATTTCTTTGCTCCGTTTGCTGTAAATGCCAAATATTCATGACGAAGCCGCTAAAGTTCCTGAACGCTTTACGTCTCGTGTAAATGAAGCTTAGATCTTTATCGTTATATTTACAGAAATATAGATGTTTTCTTGAATCACTTGAATATCACTTAAAGGTGCTCGTTGCAAATGAAGGGTGGACAAAAGAAGAAATCTGCACAATATGTTTTTCCATGTTGATTATTTAATGTACTTTAAACGTTGTGAGCATTTTTAGTGGCTGGACGTGTTTAGCTGCAGGAAAAAGCCGAAGTCACTGAAAACGGGTCACATGTTAAGCCGCTCTGCACTTGTCTGGTTGTGCCATATTTGTTTAGCTGCAGCAGCTTCACGTCGGTCATGTGATGTTTACACTGAGCGCAGACCCACGTTTCAGAGAAGCCGCCTGAGTGAACTCTTGGATCGTTTTTGATAAAGATACTTCGTGATGATGCAAACGCCTTCAGAAGCTCGCTGAGTTGAAGCTCCTTTAACTGAACTTTTTTATCGTTAAAGTTTATTTGTTTTGTTCAATTAGGAGAGGTTGAGAAAAGACGAAGAGCTGGAAACGACTCGTGCCGCTTGGAAATGTGACCAGAGTCAGAAAATGAAAGGTGACCCGAGGCCGTTTGAGGGCAGAGATTATATTCTGCTCGTTTGTTGATGGGTTGTTTTTGTGTGAGAATAAAATAAATGACACTGAAACTTCCTGCTGTCGTTTGGCCTCAGATCATGTGATGAAGCTTTTAACACCTTTAGGCTGGTTGTTTGTTAGAAATAAAACTCGGCTCAAGTTTAAACTTTACGTTATTTCACATTTATGTGCAGCTGAGCAACACATGCTGTCCCTTAAAGTCCTTTAAAGAATAATTTCCCTGCAGGAACAAAACAACTTTAACAAACTTTGAGTCTCTTAAGTGTTTAAGTTTGCATTAGCAATTAATTTTAGAGCTTTAAGTTGGAAAATTCAACTAAAATATCACCAAAAAAAAAGGATTCTCAGCAGCTACAGCATCAAAAACCAACATTTCTGCTTCATGCATAAAGTAACGATATACACAAAGTACTGAAATGTGTGTAAATGTACATACTGCAGTATTTGAATGCACATTTTGTAACTTCAGGGTTTCTGACTGTGACTCAGTCAGATTTTCATTGAACGCGTCACAAAACACTTGATGGTTTGTTGATGAGCTCAAAGCTCGTCTCGTTCTGTTTGTGTTGTGAGTAAACGTGTTTGTTGTTGTTGGTTTTAGCTCGCAGCACACAGCTGAGGTAAACAAGCCACAAACCGCTGAGTGTTGATGCGTCGACGCAGCACAGATGTTCAACTTCAGCAGGTTTTACTTTTACTGTCAGCTGCTTTTCCGTTTCCTCCGTTCCATCGCTCTTCACTGAAGCTCATCGTTTTAGTGAAGCATCAGTCACACAAACAGGAAGCTGATAAACAAAACGTTAAATCGCAGATTATGTTGCTGTAAAATGTAAAAATGGATATAATTCAATAAATGTACGGCAAGTACAGAAGAAATGCAGAACTTGACTTTTGGCTCATTTCTTGCTCCAGATGTTAATGATGAGCCTGAGTGCAAGAATTTATTTTCATTATTGTTGTTATGATTGACAGCTGTCACTCTGGATGGATGTGTCAGTCTGTCGACATGAAGTTGTCACTCTCAGCAAGTTTACTGGATTAAATGGACAAGGCCTGATGGGGAGAGTGGCTGCAGCTGCGACGAATGAAACAGAGAACCGGTGATGGGGGGTGGGGCGGGGGGCACAGAGGAACTTAAAACCTAAAAACACAACGAAAATCAATCAACCAATAAACCGATCAATAAACAGAGAAGTGATGGGAGGAGCTGTTGTGGTTTCACCTTTTTAAGGAGGTTTTCTTGGAACACTAGTTGTTTTTCTAACACTTTAATTTACTTTAAAGTTTAAACAATTGGATTATTATAAGATAATGTTTAAAATCATCTCAAACATGAATAAACTTTTACTGTTTTATCACGAAAACACCCGTCATATAACAAAATGTTATTCAGCACCATGAGCATGAATGACCCCGCGACCCAAAAATGAAGAAGCGGGTAAAGATGATGGATGGATGGATGGGTGGATGGATGGATGGATGGATGGATGGATGGATGTTGTGATGGATGGATGAATGGATGGATGGATGGATGGATGGATGGATGGATGGATGGATGGATGGATG